CCCGCCCGCCCTCGCCCCGCCGGCCTTGGCCACTGCTCCTGCCGCGGAGGCAGCGCGGCGGCGGCCCTCCTTCCCTCGGCCGCGCTCGGCGACCCGCCGGTTCCGGAGCCCGTCGCGTAGGCTCCTCTCGGGTCTCCGCTCTCCCCACTTCCTTCGCCCTCCTCCCATCGCCGCTTCCCGACCCCGCCCGAGCCCGGCGCCTCGGCTGCCCCCCGGCCATGGCGTGCGGCGCCACTCTGAAAAGAACTCTGGATTTCGACCCGCTGTTGAGCCCGGCGTCCCCGAAGCGGAGGCGATGTGCGCCATTGTCGGCGCCCACCTCGGCAACTGCCTCCCCGTCGTCGTCGGCCGCAGCCACCGCCGCCTCCTCGGCTGCGGCCGCCTCGCCGCAGAAGTACCTCCGAATGGAGCCATCCCCCTTCGGCGACGTCTCCTCCCGCCTCACCACAGGTGGGACCTGGCCCACGGCGGCCGGGGTGGGCGACGGAGCTGGGGCCCCGGGTGGGGGCGGGCTGAGTTCTAGTTCTTAGCAAAGTGGCCCGGCGACCGCTTCTCTTTACGTAGCTCGGACTACGGAGACACAATAGGAAGGGCCTGATGTCACGGCTAGGCAGGGGCCGTCCCTCCCCTGTGTCGTGGGGGAAAAGGAACATCCTTCCCTTCTTGCCTAGTGATTGGAATTAAGTGTTTCCGTAGGCTGTAGAGCCCCAGAGGAAATGACCAGAGAGGGTGATATTATTCATGAATTTAGGTGAGAGGAGGGTCCTCTTCAGCCCTAACTTCGATGTCTGTTCTGAATCGATTGGTTGCAGCTGTTAACTCTGGGACTGTGCGGTTCGAGACGAAGCGACAGCCCCCTCTTCCAGTTCAGACATGGCTTATTTTAGTGTAGAGGGGCGGGGGGGGTGGGGATGGATGTCACTGGGCGAGATCTAGGCCTGTCATTAATCACCCACAAGAACGCCGCTTTGGCTGAGTCAAGACCTGTTTCCCTAGCAGGGTCAACAACAAAGAAAATGCTCTTCTCGAGTACTGTAAAATGATCACACTGTACGTCTAGGCCTAGAGAAATCTAGGACTTTTAATGAAAAGCAAATTGTATTGAAAATTGGGGCTGAGTAGTTGCTTTTATTTGGAAAGGCCTTATTTCTGCCCAACAAAAGTGTGTTGGGAGAAAATAACCTAGCCTTGAGAGTAACAAATCAACCCAAGATTCCAAGTGGGACTGTCTTTTGGTGGCTTTGTAGAGCGTGTTTAAACCCAGTTTTTTTCTGAACTTTGAAATCCTTGTGTTCCCCTGGCAGTCCTAGGATAGGCTTTTGTGGACTTGAAGTGTAACTCTTTCTCCTTTGTGTGTACCAAGCTGAGGTTTCTGTGTGAGCCTTTGGTAATACCACCCTTAGACAAAGCCTTTTCGTAGATTTACTTAAGTATCTCATTAGCTTAAAAAGTTGGAAGAATACCACTGTATTTGTTAACTTCTATTTGAAATTGACTTTACTTATTTTTTTAAAAAATATTGGTTTTTAAACAATCTTTCCTAAATCTGTGGGGGGAGATCCTAAAATACCCAGGCTACCGTTTTTGCTATTAAATATTTAATCTGACTTAAGGATCTAATATTTTTCAGTTGTCGCTAGTTTTCACGGGAATTCTCAGGTAATTTTAACGATCATACCTAAAGTATATGAAGGGATTTGTTGATTGATTGATTGATAGACTTACAAAAGGAATCAACCAATGTCAAGAATGAACTACTGGTGGTTGACATCTTCAGAGTTTGTCCTTCAGTGAAACAGTGTCATTCAAAAGTGACATAGAATCATAGACTGTGCTTAACTAATAGGGCCATTTCAAAATAGCTGTAGCAATAAATTTTAGTCCAGGGAGTGAATTAATAATAGTGCTAGGTTTGGGAGTTAAAAGTACTACATCGTAAGTCTCGAGCATGTATGTAAACCAGCATGGGCCTGCACATATTCCCCTGCTTTAAAGGGAACTTATTCAGAAAGAATTGTTATCTTTTGTAAGCCTGTAGTTTTATTGATATATTTGTAATGTTGGTCAGTGCACCTGGCCTCACGTTATCTCAGAGTTTCAATTAAAATGACTGGAATTAGTGGAATTGTTTGAGCCAGCTGCCTAAAATCCAAATTTTCTGAAATATTTGCTGTCTTCAGTTCTTCAAGGTATTTTTTAACTTTAGAACTTTGATCACATCCTAAGTGACTGAGTCTGCTAAAAATTATTTCAACTAATTTGAATATTAACATAAAAAGTTAACTTAAAAACCAGCTAAACTGCTGATATTTAGTCTTGCCAAGTAGTTGCTTTTATTGGAAATGACTTATTCTTGCCCATGTACATTTTAAAACTGTAATTTTGGGTGATATTCTAATATAATTTAACTTGACTGTGTGTTTAGATTGCCAATTTGGAGTGAGCTCCTGTATGGTTTTTGTAATAATGTTGTCATAGTGGGAGCTGCAGTGTTGTACAGGTATCAAAGAGCTTCCCAGTTTTCATGTTAAAAAACACCTAATTGTTTCACAAGCACCTAAGGTTTAGATTCCTATTTTAACACTGGCGATTCTTAAACTTTACTAGAGTGAATATCATGTATCCCTAGCTGAAATAAATAGTGAGGATTGAAAATGGACAGTGGCTTACCAAATTAAGATTGATTAGAACTCTGGGAACTCTGTCTTTAACTTCTCTGAGTTCAAATATAGTTTAAATAATGTAGAACTGAGAGTACTGAAGTGAATTTTTTTTCCGGAACATGTACAAAGTTATCTTTGTTCTCCTCTGGATACTTATTACAGTTTCTTCTGGAGTTATAGCTTATGTTGTGGCTTTATTAGTAGTTTCAAGAACTTGGATATTTGTCTTAAACCTTAGCTATTACATTAGTCATACCAAGAAGATGATTCCAGAGTTTGAACTGATGACCATTCTTATTTAAATCAGTATCCTGCAAACTGTTGGCAGACTAATACTAGGAAAAAGGAAGAGGTTATATGAGCTGAAGGAAGTTAAGGTTGCTTTCTCACCTCTAAGACTTAAGAGCCTTTATCATGCTAAGTAGCACTGTGACTTTTTAAGGGGCCCCTTAATACTCAGCATATCCCAAACCTGGTTTCCAGGGCACCTAGGTGTTACTAATTCAGAAATGTCCAGGGTCTAGGGCAGGGTTAACAAACTACAGCTGTATTTTTGTATAGCCTTAAAGCTAAGATTGTTATTTTTACATAATAATATGTATATATTTATACTTTAAAAAATTTTTTTGGAGACAGTCTCACCCAGTCACCTTGAGGTTGAGTGCCATGGCGTCTTAGCTCATAGCAACCTCAAACTCCTGGGCTCAAACAGTCCTCTTGCTTAGCTGCCTGAGTAGCTGGGACTACAGGTGCCGGCCACAGCGCCTGACTAGTTTTTTTTCTTTCTTTTTTTAAATTATTACAGATGGGCTCTCTCTCTTTCTTAGTCTGGTCCCTAATTCCTTAGCTCAAGCAGT